TCGCTTGAACCTGGGAGGCAGAGGTTGCAGTGAGCCGAGATTGCGCCACTACACTTCAGCCTGGGTGACAGAGTGAGACTCTGCCTCAAAAAAAAAAGAAAATAAATAAAACAACCCCCCCCCCCAAAAAAAAAATCCAGAAAACAACAAGGGTTGGCGAGAATGTTAACAAATTGGAACTCTGAACATTGCTGGTTGGAATGTAAATGGCACCATACTGTAGAAATCAGAATTGTAATTCCTCAAAAAACTAAATGTATTAACATACGACCCAGCAATTCTACTTTTGGGAACATACCCAAAAGAATCGAAAGCAGGAACTCGAGCAGATATTTATACACCAACATTCACAGCAGCATTATTCACAATAGCCAAAAGGAGGAAGCAACTTAAGTGTCCATCAACAGATGAATGGATAAATAAAATGTGGCATATACATACGATGGAATGTTAGCCTTAAAAAGGAAGGAAATTCTGACACATGCTACCACATGGATGAAACTTGAAGACATTATACTAATAAGCCAGTCACAAAATGAAAATATTGTATGATTCCACTTATATGAAGTACTTAGAGCAGTCAAACTCATAGAGAAGGAAAACAGAATGATGGTTGCCAGGGGCTGGGTTAAGGAGGAATGAGAAGTTAGTGTTTAAATGTGTACAGAATTTCAGTTAGGGAGGATGAAAAAGTTCCAGAGATGGATGGCAGTGATGGTTGCACAACAGTGTGACTATGCTTAATACCACAAAACCGTATACTTAAAAAGAGTTAAAATGTTAAATTTCATATTATGTGTATATTTAACTACAATTTTTTTTTTTTAAGACAGGAGAATAAAGAGGCAAATCACAGGCTGGGAGAAAATTTTGCAAAAAATATATCTGACAAAGGATTGGTATCCAGATATATAAAGAACTCTCAAAGCTCAACAGTAAGAAAATAAGTATCCCAACAAAACAATGGGCAAAATATTTGAACAGATATTTTTATCAAATAAGATATATGGAAGGGAAATAAGCACATGAAAGATGCTGCAAACTATTAATCATTAGGGAAATAAAAAGTAAAACATAAAATATCAGCATATACCCACTAAAGTGACCAAAATTAAAACAACAGCTATACCAAGTGCTGTCAAGGATATGGAGCAATCAGTACCCTCAGACATTTTTGGTGCAAATATACAATGGTACAACCACTTTGGAATATCATTTGACAGTTTTTCTCTTTTTTGAGATGGAGTCTCGCTCTGTCACCAGGCTGCAGTGCAGTGGCACGATCTCGGCTCACCGTAACCTCCGCCTCCCAGGTTCAAGCGATTCCTTGCCTCAGTCTCCCAAGTAGCTGTAATTACAGGCACGCGCCACCATGCCCAGCTAATTTTTGTACTTTTAGTAGAGACGGCATTTCACCATGATGGCCAGGAAGGTCTCGATCTCTTGACCCTGTGATCCGCCTGCCTCGCCTCCCAAAGTGCTGGGATTACAGGCGTGAACCACTGCGCCTGGCCTTAAAACATAGATTTCATTGTTATTCAAGTATGATGAGGCCAACAGATCAGGAGGTGATTGCCACTGACAAGATAGTTACTCGCAGTTCTCAAGAGGAAGGCGCACACCATGCCATGCAGGGGCCACATGAGGAAGCACTAGGGTCAGTCAGGAGGCCAACAGAATGGGATGAAAACATGGGCAAGAGCCTTTATGTGGTTTCAGTGGAAGGAATGGGCAAGGCAGGGTAAGCATGTTTAGGGCTGGCTAGTTTGAATAATTTCAGTGAGTTTTGCAGCATAGGGATGTCCTTAGTTTCCTGGTATCTGATCTTGAAATGAAAAGGGCAGGTGGATAATAGATAGGTGTCAAAGTCCTATAAGAGCCACATAAAGGAGGCAGCTGGAGTATGAGTGAGTTATTCACTGTCTCTAGGAATTGGCTAGCCCTGACAAAGGATCAGAAACACACAGTTGCCAGGAGCAGTGGCTCACGCCTGTAATCCCAGCACTTTGGGAGGCTGAAGTGGGCGGATCACAAGGTCAGGAGATCGAGACCATCCTGGCTAACAGGGTGAAACCCAGTCTCTACTAAAAATACAAAAATTAGCTGGGTGTGGTGGCAGGTGCGCCTAGAGTCCCAGCTACTCAGGAGGCAGAGGCAGGAGAATGGTATGAACCCAGGAGGTGAAGCTTGCAGTAAGCCAAGATCACCCCACTGTGCTTTAGCCTGGGCGACAGAGCAAGACTCAATCTCAAAAAAAAAAAAAAACAGAAAGAAACAAACAAACACATGGTTATTACTATACTATGTGATTTCACTTGTATAAAACTCTAGAAAATACAATCTAATCTATAGTGGCAGAAAATAGATCAACGGTTGCTTGGCGATGAAGGAATGGGCAGGGGCAAAAGGCAGACATTATAAAAGGCACAAGAAAACTTTGGGGAGAGATTATATGTTCACACTCTTGTTGTGGTGATACTTTCCTGCTCTATACATGGGACAAAACGTAATAAATTTTACACTTTAAATGTGTACAGGTTATTGTTATGTCAATTATAAAGTTCTTTAAGAATTCTAGGAATAATCCATGAAAAGAAATACAATGAAAAGAATTTCATTTTTATTGTATAATAAAAATGAAACAAAGCCAAAAATAGTTATTTGATAAATTAACAAACAGGTAAAAAGAGAAGACACAATTTTTTTTTTTTTTTTTTGGAGACAGTTTCGCTCTGTTGCCCAGGCTGGAGTGCAGTGGTGCGATCTCGGCTCACTGCAACCTCTGTCTCCTGGGTTCACGCCATTCTCCTGCCTCAGCCTTCCGAGTAGCTGGGACTACAAGCGCCTGCCACTACGCCCAGCTTATTTTTTTTTTTTGTATTTTTAGTAGAGACGGGGTTTCACCGTGTTAGCCAGGATGGTCTCGATCTCCTGACCTTGTGATCCTCCCACCTTGACCTCCCAAAGTGCTGGGATTACAGGTGTGAGACATGACGCCCAGCTCACAAGCTAATATTATAAATCAAAAGTGGAAATAATTACAGAAGTAGCAGATAAAAAAACTGAGATTATCTACAACTATAGACAAATAAAACTAAGAGAAATGAACGAATCTCTAGAAAAAGAATTAAAAACTAGCCCAGGAAGAACAAAAGACCTGAATATTCTTACAATTAAAGAGGTTGACCACAAGTTCAAATTTGTCCCCCATAAAAAACACTGGACCCAAATGGTATCACAGGTGAGAAAACAAGAGTGACTAGTTCCCAGCTCATTCTAAGGAAAGAGCAAAACCAGGCACCAAAACTGGACAAAAACATTACAAAAAAGAAAATCACAGGCTCACTTTTACACAATGATATATTCAAAAATCCTAACAAAGTATCAACAAATTGAATCTAGCATATAAAAAAGATAAATCATGATCCACTTGAGTTTATCCAAGATATACAAGGATATTTTAACATAAAATCTATAAATATAATTCACCCATATTAAAAAAGAAAGTTCATACAACCATTTCAATTGATGTAGAAAATGTACTAGATAAAAACACATGAATTCAAGATTTTAAAAAATCCTCTTAAATAGAAATAGAAGAAACCTTCCTTAACCTGATAAAGCAGTTACTATTTAAAAAAACAACATTATGCAATTATCTTCAACAGAAACAGAAAGCATTCCTTTGAATATTCCTCAGGAATAAAGTAATCTACTATCACTTCTATTCAATATTGTTAGAAAAGTCTTTGCCTTCACAATAGGAAAAGAAATTTGGCCACGTACAGTTCATGCCACTGTAACGGCACTTTAGGAGGCTGAGACGGGAGGATTGCTTGAGCCCAGGAGTTCAAGACCAGCCTGGACAACATAGCAAAATCTAGTCTCTACAAAAAATTTTAAAAAAGAAAAAGAAATTAAAATTATAAGAATTAGAAAGGAGACTAATATTTGCAGAAAATCTGACTGTTTACATAGAAAACCTACGAGAATTTAGGCTAGGCATGGTGACAAAGTGAGAAAACATCTTAAAAAAAAAAAAAAGAAAACCTACAAGATTCTATATGAGGTAAGTTATTGGAAATAATAGGGTAACTTTGTCAAGGTGACTAGATATAGAATTTTTATACCCTAGCAAAAACAGCCACTGATTTGCACTCAAGAAAGGGTCTGTCAAGTTAGGCAAGAACCAATCTGTGTAAATGCCGATAAAGAATCAGATGGGAAGGAAGCGAAGGCACATAAGAAAGGCAAAAATTGGAGAAATTGTAGAAAAGTGAGTGAACTGAAATCTGACATCTTAAAGATTTCCCCATGAGGTACGCAGCAAGATCAAAGGCTAAGAGAGGAGGGGGAGATAGTGGGACATGGTTTTTTACAGTATTAAGACTAATACTGGTGCTATAGAAAATGGCAGGAAGTGCTGACACCAGGCAGCCCAGCAGCCCCGAGGGCCCCGGTGAGATAAGATCCATTTTTCCAGGATTCTTTTCTGAAAAAAATGCTCTAAGCACTAATGGTATGGCGAACATACAGAATTAAGGTTTTGCTAGATGAATGTAATGAAGCTATAAGCAATGAGGGAAGAGAATGAACTGCTGAACCTCAGAGTTTAGCATCAACAGGAAAGGAAGGCAGATACTAGAGACATTAGAGAAAATAAAAAACTTAAGTGGCTAAAACCCCAAAAGTTGAGAATATTTACAGTGAGAATAACATAGTAGGTAAACTGGAAGGCCCCAAGAAGCTAATTTCACCAGAATTTTTTGGAGCCTATTGTAGTTGATGGACTATAGTCCTTGAAAAATCAATACATATGACTAATTTTACATACAGTTCCCTTGACATGTATGGATCTCAGTAAAATGCAAATCCTTTACCATGCACCCCTACCCCAGATTATGCCATAAGCAGCTTACTAAGTAGCCCTTCAGAATTCCATGTTTCCTTTCCTCCTCCATTTCTGTAGAAAAAACTTAAAAAACTATTTCAGTACTTACTAGCTTCTTTTAAAAAGTTAATTATGCTCTTTGAACATGTGTCCTAGAAAAAAAGAAATAAAAAACATTTAATTAGGAGTATCTAGGTTATGTGAAGCATTCATCAACCTCCTATTGACAGAAATTATCTATAGGCAAATTTTATATATAAGTAACTTTAACATGAACACTTCTTAAACTTTGGCCTAGTAATTTCACAAAAATTAGGCTGCAAGTCACCCTGTTTATCAGATACTGGCAGACGCTAACTTCTGCGGCTATGAAGCTAATCAATACTGAAATCTCTTATCTTTTCAGGAGGATTGTTCATGTATTCAGTGTTTGCAAAGAGTTCCTGCTGAGCTAAACACAGTCCAGTGTGCACTCTACGAAAGAGTCCATGAGACAAGCATGGGGGAGGGTAGGAAGTTTAATACTTTCACAATGCCTGTGGAGAGGCTGGCAGTGATGAAAGCCTAGAAAACTCATGAAAGGACCTTTTATGACCAGGGTGAATGTAGAGCACAAAAGCAAAGTCAGATGACCCACTTAAAGCTTTGCCTTTACTGATGAGATTTCATTCTCATTCCAGATTAGTCTCTCTCTAGAAAAAGCAAACCTTATATAAGAGTTGGAAAATTAAGATACAGGAAGCATGATTCTACTAAGTTCCAGTTTTTCCTTCTCAGATATCAGCCTAAGTCCTAAGGTCTGTGGCCAAAGACAGAAAATACAAGGCTCTGAGAAATATGTCATTTACTTGGCGTAACAATCTCTGTTGGGCTTTGAGGAAATTTAAGCTCTACAATCCATAGATCAGACCAGAAGTTTAGGGTAGTAATATTATGAGAGGAAATGGTTTCTTAATCTGTCTCTAGAACTTATATAAAGCAAATAAATGGTAAACCTGATTTGTAAATTAATAACAGACCAAGTTCCTTCAAAGCAGAGAACTACTTATTTGTTCATTCATTCAACTAAGTTCCTTGTCTTGTGCCAGGCTGGAGAGAGAGAGCAGCTCTTGTCCTCAAGGAGCTCACATCTCAGGCATCTTCTCACCCCCCTTTCTCATGTTAACCAAAACATTTCAGGTTCATCAATGAAACTCTTCATCCAGGAGGCAGATAAAATGGCTTCTCTTCATTTTGATTCATTTGCTCTTTTATTTATTTTATTTTATTATTATTATTTTTTTTTGAGAAGGAGTCTCACTCTATTGCCCAGACTGGAGTACAGTGGCGCGATCTCGGCTCACTGTAACCTCTGCCTCCCAGGTTCAAGCGATTCTCCTGCCTCAGCCTCCCAAGTAGCTGGGATTACAGGCATGCGCTACCACGCCCGGCTAATTTTTGTAATTTTAGTAGAGACAGGCTTTCACCATGTTGGTCAGGCTGGTCTCGAACTCCTGACCTTGTGATCCGCCTGCCTCAGCCTCCCAAAGTGCTGGGATTACACGCGTGAGCCACTGCGCCTGGCCTACTCTCTTTTAAACAGAGAAATAAGATGGAATATTCTTATCCGATCTTTTCTTCTATAATTAAAAAAGGAATACGAAGAAACTTGACATAGTCTCTCTTCTCATGGATTCTCTTCCTTACTTCCCATCCCAATTCCATGTTTGCTCTCTTTTTCCTCCCTCCTTCTGTTTCGTTTTGAACAAAACTACAGAGCTAGACCTGGAGCCTAGATTCACTGGTAGTCAAATCACTAATTTTTCTGAAGGTAAATGGGAGAAAAATGGGGGTTGCAGGGGAAGCTCATTAATACAATTCTAAATCAATCTCAATTCCCTACTGCACAACTTCCCCTCCCTCCTCCCACATATGTTTTTGGTTCTCATCTAGTCTTCACACTGGTAACTGCTTCTGCCTGGCAGTTTCTGTTCTAAGCCCTCTTAGTTTTCAGCTTAAACAAAATCTGCCCCTGCTGATTATGGTAGACCCATTCTTATCCTCTGTCTACTCCAAACATTCACAACCATAGCAGCCTACTCATTGCTTAAATAGAACTTAATATATAATTTATTAATTACTTAGCTATATAAATATCTATATCTATCTATCTTAAAGATAGATATGTATCTTTAAGATATATATATATATATATATATTTTTTTTTTTTGAGATGGAGTCTCACTCTGTCACCCAGGCTGGATTACAGTGGCATAATCTCAGCTCACTGCAACCTCTATCTCCCGGGCTCAAGTGATTATCATGCCTCAGCCTCCCGAGTAGCTGGGATTACAGGTACCTGCCACCATGTCCGGCTAATTTTTGTATTTTCAGAAGAGACAGGGTTTCACCATGTTGGCCAGGCTGGCCTCAAACTCCTGACCTCAAGTGATCCACCTGCCTTGGCTTCACAAAGTGCTGGGATTACAAGTGTGAGCCACTGCACCCGGCCTGATATGTGTGTGTGTGTGTGTGTGTGTGTGTGTGTATGTATATGTATATATATATACTTACCTGTCAATTATAATCTAGCTCCATGCTCCATACAGACCAGAGAGGTCTGCTCTGCTCACAAGACCTACCCAACATCTAGCAAAGTACTCCACACATAATAGGTATATTAGGTAGTGAACTGAAGTTGACCACCCCTGTAGGGACTACAGCCCTGCTTAAAAGCAAATCAGTCCCTGAAACTGAATTAAAATGATTGAAGACTCCTAGGCAAAGTTAGAAATAAACAAATCCTCTCTTGAAAAATATATCATAAGTCTCAGGTTATTTCTACAAATAATTTTAAAACTACAGTGTCTAGTCCATAAAAAGGCAACATGAGAATCAGTAAAAAACAGACAGTAAGAACAGTCCTGTAGCATTAAGAATTTTAGTCAAGATTGGTATAAAAATGTAATAGCAGATCTGAAAAAAAGATCTTAATGGATAAATTTAAGAACAGATAAAATATAGCTGAAGAGAGAATTAGTGAGCTGGAAAATAGGTCAAAAGGAAGTATCTAGAATGAAGCAGAGAGAAGCAAAAAGATTTATAAAAAAATTCCAAGGCAAAAGTAAGAGGTATAAAGGATACAATGAAATGATCTAACCTACATGTAATTCCAGTTTCAGAAAAGCGGAAAGGGAGAAATGAACAGAAGAAATATTTGAAGAACAGACGAAGGCTGAAAATTCTCCAAAACTGAGGAAAAACATCAAACCACAGATCCAAGAAGCCCTAAAACCCCCCAAGCAGATAAACAAAAAGAAAATCTGTGTCTAGATATACAATAGTGAAATTTCTGAAAACCAAATAATTATTTAAAAACAATTTTTTTAAGCACTCAAAAGGAAAAAAGACACTGTGGTAGTTTGTTTGCAAAGATAGCTACATAAAATCCCATCCTTGTACACATGCCTTTTACAGTGAGACACTGCCACTCCTATCAACAGGTGAAGTTTATTTCTCCATTCCTTTAATTTGAGCTGGCCCTGTGACTTGCTTAAATCAATAAAATGCAGAAGTAATAGTGTGTCTTCCAAGTTGATACCTCAAGAGAACTTGCAGCTGTCATTTGGCTCTATGGAAACACTGCTGTCATAATGTGAGAAGCTTTGGCTCACTTCCTTACATTAAGAGAGAGGCCCAATCAACAAGTGACACCAACTGCCAGACATGTGCTTGAGACAATCTGAGTCCCAGATGAACCATTAGATGATTACAGTTGCATGAATGACTCCAATCAAAACCAGCAGAGGGGCCGGGCGTGGCGGCTCATGCCTGTAATCCCACCACTTTGGGAGGCTGAGGCAGGTGGGTCATTTGAGGTTAGGAGTTTGAGACCAGCCTGGCCAACATGGTGAAACCCCATCTCTACTAAAAATAATTAGCCAGGCAGTAGTGGTGTGCGTCCGTAATTGCAGCTACTCAGAAGGTTGAGACAGAAGAATTGCTTGAGCCTGGGAGGCAGAGGTTACAGTGACCCGAGATTGTGCTACTGCACTCCAGCCTGGGTGGCAGGGTGAGACACTTTGTCAAAAGAAAAAAAAGAAAAAAAAGAACCAGTAGAGGAACCAAACAGCTACCCAGCACTGATTGATATTCACAGAACTGTGAGCCAATTTTAGATGGCTGTTGCTTTAAAATACGAAATTTGGGGATGTTTTGCTAGGCATCAATAGAAAATGGATACAAAAATATTTTCGTCAAAGAAAACAACTAGATTAACAGCTGATCATAATACTTAAGTATTACCTTTTTCTTAAACTTGAGAATTTAAGTTGCAGGATATCAAGAAGGGTAAACATCAACAAAATAATTTGCTTCCTCTTCTAGAGAAAGGAATAGTGTGTTTTCAGCTACATGCAAGATAGTTCTTTCATGCTAAGCAGAAGTATGACTTTGTTATTGTCTTTATTTGGAGATTAATAATGGCTTAAGGAGATGCCTATGGGTGCCAAGCTGACAAAGGGTAGACTTGTGATTGTTAATTTCACTGGGCCGCATCACAGTGTCCACGTATTTGGTTAAAGGTTATTCTGGATATTTCTGTGAGGGGTTTTTTTGGATGAGATTTACATTTAAATCAATGGACCTTGAGTGCAGCAAGGTTGCCCTCCATAATGTAGGTGGGCTTCATCCATACGACTGAAGGTCTGAATAGCACAAAGGGCTGACCTCCCCCACGCAAGAGGGAATTCTCCAGCAGACTACCCTTGAACTTGAACTGCAGTTCCTTCCTGGGTCTCTAGTCTGCTAGCCTCCCCGACTGAATCAATTCCTTAAAATAAATCTATATAATATGTATGTAATATATGACTAATATTTAATATAATAAGCATATATTCAACACAATTTCAGTACTACCCCCTTATCTGGGGGGGGGGGGGATATGTTCCGAGACTCCCAGTAGATGCCTGAAACCATAGATGGTACTGAACCCTACATAAACTATATTTCGTTCCTATACAAACGTACCTATGGTAAACTTTAATTTAGAAATAAGGCACAGTAAGAGATTAACAGCAACAACTTATAATAAAATAGAACAACTGTAACAATATGCTACCACTACCCTTGCACTTTGGGCCATTATTAAGTAAAATAAGCATTACTTGAACAC